CCTGCTGCGGGTGGGCAGTGCCCTGCTGGACGCCAGCAACAAGCGGCACTGGGAGCTGATCCAGCAGACGGAGGGGGGCACGGCCTGGCTGCTGAAGCACTTCGAGGACTACGCCAGCGCCCTGGCGCAGAGCATGCCCCAGACCTACCTCAGCCCCTTCACCATCGTCACCCCCAACATCGGTGAGCGGGGACCCGGGGACGCTGCCCGGGGGCGTGGCTGTGCCTGGGGACACGTGTGTGCCTGGGGACACGTGTGTCCAGGGGTCATGCATGTAGCCAAGGACGTGTGCTGGGGACGTGGGCATGTGTGTGCCTGTGGGACATGCATGTGCCCAGGGACGTGCATGTCACCAAGAACATGTGTGTGCCTGGGGACATGTGTGTGCCCCAAGGACATGTATGCACTTCGAACACGGGTGTACATGCGCCTGGGGACTTACCTGTGGCCAGGGACGTGCATGTCACCAAGAACATGTGTGTGCCTGGGGACATGTGTGTGCTTGGAACATGGGCGTGCATGCACCTGAGGACTTACCTGTGGCTGGGGACATGCATGTCGCCAAGAACATGTGTGTGCCTAAGGACACATGTATCCAGGGGTCATGCGTGTAGCCAAGGACCTGTGTGTGCTGGGGACGTGGGCATGTGTGTGCCTAGGGACATGTGTGTGCCCCGAGGACACGTGTGTGCTTGGCACATGGGTGTGCATGTGTCTGGGGACATACCTGTGGCCAGGGACATGCATGTCACCAAGAACATGCATGTGCCCAAGCACACGTGTGCCCCTGGGAATGTGGGCATGTGTGTGCCCAGGGTCGTGGGTCCCTGTGTGCTGAGGGACATGGACGTGTGTCAGGGGACACATGTGTGACCAGGGACACGCGTGTGACAAGGCTTGTGGGGGCGTGTGTGGCCAGGGGACGTGTGTGTGCTGGGGGACGCGGGTCCGCGGGCGCCTGGGGACGTGAGCATGTGTGTGCCCGGGGACATGCGTGTGCCTGGTGACACGGGCATGAGTACCGTGCCCCCCACTACGTGTGCCCAGGGGGCACCTACCCGGGGACTGGCACCACGGGGATG